TCTATGATTCTATTCTATGATTCTATTCTCCTATTATAAAAGGATTTCGTTTTCAAAGAATAGGGTAATTTGCTATGCATGCCCAAGGCTATGTAGATTTATTATTATGCCTATGAAGTTAAAATAGGTATCATTCATAGTTGTTTATAGACATTTTATAGAATAATTTATATCTTCCAGATTACATTAATTTAACTAAATTATTTGGGGCTTATTAACAATAAATGAAAGGAGGCAGGGTTAAAGAGAAGTATTAAACTACTTTCCCTGTAGGTATACTTCTCAGTCTTTTCATTTGGAGTTGAAACTAGAACTTGAATTGGTTTGGATTAAGAGCATAATTTAAAAAATTCTCAACACTGATAAATTTCAGTACAGAATTCCGTCCTGACAGATTATAAATTGGAATATATTGTTACCTTTTTAAAGGGAACGTTATCGTTGTATTTTCTTAGGAATCCGGTACTCTAGCTTTCTCTGCTTGGTTTGTTTGTGGGTTGGGACCAATTCTGACTCTACAAGATAAAAATAGTATTTTTGTCGAAGGTTGTATCTAATCGACTCAATGTTGGTGTTCTGTTTGTAAAATTGCAGTTGCTTTTGATGCTAAATGAGGATTAATGTGCATGCGATGTATCATACTATGTGTGAAAGTGTGATCTTTCAATAAGTTCTTGGTGCCCAATGTCAATGTGTTATATTTTCTTTATTTTCATTTGTTTGTAAGGAATGTGACATTTCATTACAAAAGGAGCAGCTTAAGTTACTTTGGAGGGGTTTGCTCTGTGACCAGAGGAGTAGGAGTGAATGAGGTAATTTTTTTTCACTACTAGAGTGAAATAAAATAGAAACTGTACATTATAATCTCAGAGTTCATATGTTTCAGTATTCAGGGCTTTAAAGATAACTTATGTATTAAAAAGTTAGGATTCTCACAGCCAACCTTCTTGTATCATCATTAAACTACTGCTCGCTGTGCTTTTCTTTTTAAAAAGCATTCCTCCTGTCTGCATTATTCTCTTAATACGATCTTAAATTGGCTTTTAGTATATTTGACAGAAATTTAGACCCAAAAATCTCAAGACAGGAGTATTTGAAATATAGCACTGAACATCCTTTTGGGTCTTCTCGCTCTAAGAGGCTTGATCTTCTGAGGTGCTGATAACATGTAATTCTTACTGATTTTTTTTTAACATTAAAACTAGAAAAATTTGGTCCCTATGTTTGTTTTTTTTTTTTTAAATTATTGTTATTTTGTTTTCCCTCAGTGCAGTGTTAAATCAATAATGAAAATCTCCTGTTTTAACATGGGTTAACTGTACTATACAAAACTATATTACATACAGACTCCTTTCTGTAGGTTCACCAGCGGACAGGGATTCCCTCAGGTTAAGAGAGGAAATTTTTTTCCATTACGTACTTCATTGTGTTTATTTTCCGTATATGCACACAGTATTGTGATTGGCTGTACAGGATTACTGAAGTAGTAGGTATGTGGTAAGCCAGAATGAGCCGTTGTAGTGTTCATTACAATAACTTACGGTTTCTTTTTTTTTTTTTGCTTTTTTTTTTGCTTTTTTTAATTGCACTCCTCTTGAAATGCAGTATGGCCTCCCTTTGGCCATGGCACAAGAACTAGCACAAAGTCTTGCTCAGAACCTTGGAATACAATGGGAGCCAGCTGCCAGGAAACCGAGTATGTACATGGACATGGAGTCTTCTTTGGTCCTCCTTAGCTAAATATATAAACTCTTCCTTTGTAATATTTGAAACAAATACCAAACTTGCTGTAACTATAGAACAAGAATTGCTGCTTTTGGAAATATACGCACCAAAATTTGAGTTTAACCAAAATAAGAGCCACCAGTTTAGCATTCATTTTGCAATGACCTCAGTGATGTCCTGTGTCAGGAGTTTGGATTCATAACCAACATTCAAAGGTATAATGGCAAAACCACCATTAATTTAACTCAGAACTCCTTATCTATCATAATGAAACCTGTAACTCCTATAGAACCATCATTGACTTCTTAAAATACAAAAATATCTGATTTATAATTGAAGAAATGGTAAGAAGCTGTAACCTCGTCCAAGGTGACATTTGCTCAACTTGTTACCTTGCTGCTTCACAGCCAGAAGGTTAGACTGACGTGGCCTTAACACATGTAGAGTGTAGGTACAAAAGCTGCTGCAAAGAAAATTGTTGGGTTTTTCCACTCGCATCTTGTAAGCAATTTGGCTACTTTCTTTCTTTGTTTCTTCTTTAAAAATGTGAATGATAATGCTGACTTTATTTTGGAATCACTTCAGAAATCTGTGAATTAGGAAACAGTGTGGAAAAGCTTAGGGAATGTTGTTTTGTAAAGCATTGCTTTTGAATTGTGTAAACTTGCAAATTGCTAAAATATTTTCTATATCATTGTTTTTTGATTACAGGTAAAACAGAGTTCATATAATTTGGAAATCAGAATCTTTTTTAACTGTAAGATAGAGATTTTTTAAATGACAGCTTAGTTTCCTTATTTGGATACCCTTTATAGAGAAAGATTAATGAAAGACCTGGATAGAGCAGGAATAACCATATAAATAATCTGTGAATATTTTCTGTGGAGAAACAGTATGGATTTGCAGTAGTAACTAGAATACAGAACCTTTCTTCTTTAAAATATTACTACTTCGGTAGATAATTTTTATGGGTAGTTTGTAACTTCTGTTTTACCAACCATAAGATGTTGATCTTTTGTTTTCATTTCATGAATTTGGTCACTGTTGACTTACATGCTATAGCTGTAAGTAAACTGTAAATCCATTTTCACTCAACTACTTTTTCTAATGTATGTTTGATTGGCTGATTCACATACTACTACTAATAATTCTATGACAAAGGGAAAAAACATGGCCTGCCCCGGTAACAATTCTCCTTCAGGATGTTCTGTACACATTAGGGAGGAGGAAATGTGAACATTTTTGATCATTAGTATCATGTGTACTGCACATACCCTTGTGCTGCCTGTTTTGAGAGCATGTAGGGAAGAACGTTGTCAGCTATTTATAGCTTTCTATACTGCCTGAAACTTTGTGTTGAGTCTAAGAATGTGCACTTATGGTAATTTGAAAGTACCACATTTATATTAAGTATATTAGTGTCTCTTCAAGAGGGCTGGTTTCCTTTTTAGGGCTAGAATCTGTACAGCCAAGCAACCATCTAATTTTTGTATGATTAGTCAAGGTCCATTTTTATAGTGAGTACTTTATATTTATTGTAAGCATATTTATAACTGCTTTCATTTTCTGTTGTGTTTTGGTCTTGTCTGAGAAGAGTGTGACTGCACTGAATCCTGGGGTGGTTGCATCATGGAGGAAACGGGGTATGTCATAACTATCAGTAATCGAGGGCTCCGGAATGAGTTCATAGTTTACATTGTGACATAAATATTTATGTATTGGGTTTTGTCCATGTGTTTTAGTACTAATAAAAGAAAAACTAGAAGCAGTTGGAACAACCCAAACATACAGATCAATGATTTCAATTTTCAGCAGTTCATTCCCTTTGCTATTCACATTTTAGGAAGTTACTCATAAATCTTATATTTTGAAGTGCAATGCAGTGTATTCGCTAATGCTTTGCTATACTTAACAATGATTGAAAAGTAAAGAATGTATATTTTTCATTAAATAAATCCAGTTACACTTTTTACACGCAGCTGAAGAAGTGTTATAATACAGTTTTGATAAGTGATATTTCTGTTTTCCTCCTAAATTTTAATTATTTTTTTCCCCAATTCCTTCAAAATTCTAATTTTGAGTGAACAGATCTCTCTGCTTCTGTTGCAGTGAATAAAAGTAGAAACCGGAAGCTTTCAGTAAGTGCTCTCAATCCTTAGCTAAATGGTCAGTCAGTGAAGTATGAGGGGGAAGCACATCCATATGGAAGGAAACCAGATTTCATTGCCCTCCCTCACACACTGCTGGAGATTCTTTTCTCTGTACTGTAAGCAATTGATTAGAGAAGGATAGCTTTTGAAACATAGGTTTTTGAGTCTTATAAATCACTTCCTGTCAGAATTCTTGCTCACTGTGAAGCTTGATTGCAAAAATCATGGAGAAAATTAGTTATAAATAAGACAGAAGGAGCTTAGTTTCTTCATATGGTATTTGTAAATTGGTTCTTCAGTAGAATTGCCGTGTGGCTTTCCTGTAGACTTGTAATTGTCAGCCACCGTATGAATGCAGCAGAAAATTATTCAGTAAGTTTGCTTCCGGAATCCGAAGTAAGGCATCGATCAGAATAGGTAATAGCTTCCTTCCTGTAGTGAACTCATTAAACTATCAGTCTCAAATGGAAATACCAGTAGAAGAGGTTGTGGAACAAACTTCTGTAGATAAGGTAAGAGTAAAAAGAATGCCAGGAGCAGATGATAGTCACCCAGAAGCTGAAAAAGGACTAACTAATGAAATGGGTGAATAATTAGCTGCAGTGTAAAGCCTTTTCGTTTAACTCCATCAGTGCCAGAAGACATTTTTTTGTGTATAGAATAATTCAATGGGGAAATGTCAGCTTAACAGCAGTGAGCTACTAGGAAAGGAATGGAGAACCTCCTTATGGCATGGTTACCCCCATCTTTAATAGTGTGAATAGTTCTCATTCCCAGATCTCAAAACATGGCTAATAAAAATATCAGTTTCTGTGTGAGAAATGACTAATAAAGTATGTTTTCATCAGGCTGGGAAAAAGATGGAGATGAGGAAATGTGAGAGAAGTCTGTAACATCATGAACAACATAGCAAATGATTACTGTTTCTTCCAGTGTAAGAACTAGGGAGACGTGAAATGAGACTAGCAAATAGGTGACAGAAAAATCAGGATGAAATTGTTCTTCTACCAGTCTGTAATTAAGCTGTGAAGGTTCTTGCTATAGCATCTTGTAGACACTAAAAGATTTTGGGCAAATTCATGGGAGAAAATACAATGAAGATTATTAAATAAGACAAAATAAGGCTTCCTGAGAAAGTCATTGAGCTGAAAACTGTTGGAAGGTGGAAAAATATTCTGCAAGTAGTAGTACAGTGCTCTGTTCTCTACTATTCCCTGGGCATATTCTCAGGGCCAAAGTCAGAGATGGGATTTGGGTGAAGTGGATTTTTAGTCTGACCTTATACAGCTGTTCTTATGGCTACAATTACTTTTACTTTAAAAATTAACCTTATTAACAGGATCAGATTAACTGAACAGTTTTAAAACCCTGGCATGAAATCAGGGATCTGATAAGTAATCCATCTTTTAAACTGCAGCTGCAGGGAGAACAAACCCAAGAGAACACTGGATAATGCATGCAATCAAGAGGGTGCATAGCAGCTATTATGATAATGTGGTTTCACCTTATTAAGAAGATTAGAAGACTATAGTTTCATACCCTGTAGATCCATATAATAGAAATATAAAAATGCAAAATGTTTGAAAACTTTTTCTTTTGTTCTGATTTTATTGTTTGAGAATAAGACTGAGCTGACATACTGTTGCACACAGTGGTTGTAAGAAACTGGGATTTACAGTATTTAAAAAATGTTGTGGCCCCTCTGCCCCCTTCCAGTAACTGCTGATGTTTCAAGGCATTTACTCAGCCAATTCTTTGCCATTTTAGGGTATACCATTCCAGGAAATTCTCCAAATGCAGCATTGCAGAATACAAAGAATTTTTACTTCGTGGGGGAGGTGCCTGTCTTTTCAACAGGCCAACAAAGGTAATAAATATGTTGGTAGTCAGCACTTCTGCTAAATAGTGTAATGAAAATGTAATAATTTCACTAACATTTATCTGTTCTCAAATTTATTCAAATGTCTGTTTTCTTGAGGTTGCTTGTAATTAGCTGACTGTTCATTCCCATAACATTTAAAAATAATCTTAAGAGGAATGCAACTTGTTTTCCATTAATTCTTGATGCTCAAATAATGACAAATATTGCAGCTGGTTTTTCACAGCTAGATACATCCCCATTCAGCATAAATGCACTACTTATTAAGCTGGAAGTAGTGCAAAATAAATCCAGAAGTGAGGTCGTATTGCATGCTCCACATACACTCAATTCTTGGACTTTTTGCCTGAGAATGCTATTATCACATTAGGAATTAGAAATCAATAGTTTACTTCATATAGACAGTAGCAGCTTGGGATTGTTCTCAAAGTTAACTTAATTTCATTTCATTTCAGAGGTACATCTAGGAAACTCTGTAATTTATAACTCTTTCCTTGCACCATCCATTGCTTTTTTCACGTAAAAACTTATCAAGGTCATAATTTTTTCTAAGGCAATATTAGCATGACATCCTTCTAAAGCTGAGTAGTATAAAAATATTCCGTGTGGCTCTTTTTGCAAAGTAAGATCAATCCAAAGTATTAATATTCTGTTTAATCATGGTGTCAAACTTGCTGTCCTTGTAGAATTTAATACCACATGAGACTATTAGGCTGTTCTGTTTACTGTGCTGTATCCTTTAGTAGACCACCACCTTGCACTAATTAACTAAAAGAATTTTGCTTGTTAGAGTGTTTTTTATTCTTTTCCCAGGGTAGCAATCTTTGCTTATAGAATAAGAATGTAAGAATTCTTGCAGAAAATAGTAAATAGGGAGAAAGAAAAACACAGCTTCATTTTTTGATGATGGTTGTCTGACAAGGTAATGTGAACAAATTGTCAAATTGACTGTATACAGAATAAAAATCTGTTTTACTTCCATTAAAATGCTCCCAGGAGAATGGTTGAATTATATTTATATGCTACCTTGTCAGTGTTTCACAGCTTTGAAGTTAAAGTACTTGGGGGGAGGGGGGATCATACAATGTTTTGAATCCTATTATTTGGAGGTTGGGAGGTAGGGTAGAAAATGGTGTGCTTAATCTTTAGGTAAATAAAACGTAGTTGTGGTAAGCAGTCGCCATGATGTCGTTTTTAATTATAAACTTTTAGTTATGCTCTAACATGTATATGAACATTTGATGGTTCCTGGTTAATGATGTAGAAAATTTGTGTGTGTTCTGTTTTTTTCTTGCATTTCTCTGGTTGACCCCTTTTTGTTTTCTTACGGGCTACAGGTCAGATAACCAGGTCTGTTTGATGAAGAACTGAATTTCAGGTTCAGAATAAGAGGTCTTGCTGTTTCCACTGAAGCATAGTAGCAGTAACAGTGGCTTACAGAGGAAAAAAAAGAAATTTCAGTTTTCTGAATTGTGTCGACATTGCTAGTGAAGAATAGCACATATGCGTATTGCTTCAGTGTCATTTTGCTTCTGGCACCCAAAATTGTAGGTGCTGTTGATTATGTATGTGGTTTATGCAACGAAAGTAAAGTGTTTTCTTTCTTTTTGATGAGGCGTTATGATTCCTCCCCTCCCCCACCCCTGCAAAGTACCAAAGAAGAATTCCATCCAAGTTTATAAATAAATTGTATTGTATTATATGTTATGTTTTATATCTTCATGATCCTCAACAGCTGTACTGCCACTGAGCCCATGCAAAAAGAACATGTTTACTTGCATCTTTCACCCTTATCTAGCTGTAGATTATCTGTTCTCATTTTAACTTGTTAACTTTTAACTTCTCATTTCGACCATGTTCTAGTGATGAATGTGTTTCTGTTGCTAATATCCCAGTTAAATTGGAGATTCCTGATATTCTTACATGATTTTAAAGCAGAACTACTATATTGAAAACAGAAGGTTTTTGCAAAATTCTTTCTGTGACAAGACTGAAAAATATCTTAAATCACCTTTAATCAAAATTATGATATGTGAAACCAGTATAGAATCTATATAATCCTGAACTGTAGAATTTATCTGTATTGTATATATCTGGTCCTAGGATTAACTGTTTAGCACTATCTGTATGTGGTTGTGTTGTTCTAACTTACTAATAAGGCACATAGAACTTCCTTTTGGCAGCGTTTCTTAATGTTTATTATTTTCATGCGCAAACATGTTACACCGGAAGTTTCTTGAAGGAATTGTCAGAGAAATGGGAGTCCATAGAATAGGAATGATGTTCAAATGTTATCCCCTTGAGTATTTTTTATTGTCTCTCTGTTTATTATAATTTTCTGAGATCAGTATTCTCCTAAAAAGGGCTAGCATTCAAGTGATTTAGCTGTACATCTTTCATGTCTGAACAATTCTGACTAGCAGCACTTGAAAAACATGCTGCCTTCCCCATCGCAGTAGCACGGCATATATATTTTCTGTGAGAGCATGTTTCTGTAGCATTGTGGAAATGGGCTATGTGTGACAGAAAAGTCATTTGATACTAGTTTTATTCTTACTTTGCGGGGGGGCTTTTTTGCTTTCAGCTCTTTGAAACCACCGAGTGTGGAAATGGATATGTAGAAGCAGGTGAAGAATGTGATTGTGGTTTCCGAATGGCAAGTAGAGTTATATATTACTCCACAAGTCTTTCTTGCAAAATATATTAAGATAAATTATGTGATTAGTAAGGGAGGGGGAAAGGTTATGGAAATTAATTTGTTTTGCCTATCGTTAGGGAATAGCTTCATTAAAGGACTGTGTTAAAACATTTTTTCAAGTGAGAATGAGTGCAAAGACAGAGAGTGTCCTGAGAACAGTTCCTGTTATACCAATGACAGGATGTAGCTATTTCCCAGCAATTTTTGAATTGCACTGTAGGAGTGCTTTACTTTTCCTGGATAGCGTGTCTGGAGTGGTAGACTCCTTATCCAGCTTTGGAGAGAGGTGCCTGTGTTCGGACAGAGTAAGTAAACTTGTTTTCTTCTCTATTGTAGAAATATTCCAATAATGATTTTGCAAAAATCTGCCCTGTAAATTTGAGTCCTACTTCTAGTATTTAGATATGATGGCACCCACAATTAGTTTTCTTAATCTTTTTTCTGCATTGAATGCAATTTGACTAAGCAGCATGCATTTGGCACAGGCTATTCCACACCTGTGAAGAGGCTTCAGAAGGTGTGAATCCCCTTGTTGCTATAGCATATATGTTCACTGTTTTCCCTTTACTTTAGTATTTGAGGTTTTCCCTTTACTTTATTATTTGAGCATTGCAAAGAATTCTTCCAGCTGATAATTTCAGCTCATCAGTGCTGAACTAAATCTTTTGTCTGCTGTTACGTAATTGTTTGTTGGAAAGATTGTGAAGAAAAAACTTATTTAAAATGGAAAACTAAAAATTTCGCTTAATATTTTCTTCAGGAATGCTATGCAGACTGTTGTAAGAAGTGCTCTCTTTCTAATGGAGCTCATTGTAGTGATGGACCCTGCTGTAATACATCATGTCTTGTGAGTGTTGCTGCAGTATATCTATTGTTCTTTTCAGTTGTCCGTGGAAAGTCATGTGTAGCCTGTTATAGTTCAAAGTGTGTTTTATGTAGAATGAAAAGGAACAGTTTATGTGGACATAATCTTAGTCCTGAACTATATTCTTCATTTTGTAGTTTTTCCCACGAGGCTATGACTGTCGATATGCAGTGAATGAATGTGATATTGCAGAGTTCTGCACTGGAGATTCTGGCCAGGTATGCATGCAGAAGCTTTTTGTGCTTACACTATTGATGTTTGTTTGCACTCATTTTTATATCAATTTAAGAGGAAAATCCAGATTAACAAACTGCACACTCATATACCCAAAATAACTGTGGGGAGCCATTTTTTAATCCTAACAAAATTTTTTAAACGTAAGAATAAACTATCATAATCTCAAAAAAAATTAATCTAAGTGGACTCAAAATATGACTTCTGTAGGTTTATTTGTTTTTTAAAACTCGTGGGGTTTTGCGTATCCTTATAGTATTTGTGTTAGATATCCTCCTTTACTCTTTGCCTGGTCTATAGTGTAAGTACTAAGAATATACTGCAAATGTGAATGGTTTCAAAGCTAATAACAGTAAGATTTTATGAAATAAAATAGTTTAAAATATAAATGTAGAAAATTACAACTAATTGAGTATAGAATCATAGAATCATTTAGGTTGGAAAAGACCCTTAAGATCATTGAGTCCAACTGTTAATGTAACACTACCAAATCCACCACTAAACCATGTCCCTAAGCGCCACATCTACACGTCTTTTAATACCTCCAGGGATGGTGACCTAACCGCTTCCCTGGGCAGCCTGTTCCAGTACTTGAAAATCCTTTTGGTAAAGAAATTTTTCCTAATGTCCAATCTAAACCTCCCCTGGCACAACTTGAGGCCATTTCCTCTCGTCCTATCTCTAGTTACTTGGCAGAAGAGACCAACCCCCACCTCGCTACAACCTCCTTTCAGGTAGTTGTAGAGAGCAATAAGGTCTCCCCTCAGCCTCCTCTTCTCCAGGCTAAACAGCCCCAGTTCCCTCAGCCGCTCCTCATAAGACTTTTATAAAGTGTTATGTTTTTTAAGAGTGTGCACATGTATGATAATTTTAAAAGTTGTAGATCTTACGCATTTCTCTTGAAAACATTTGGCTAATTCTCAAAAGTATAGGAATAAACAGCAACCAAAAGGTTGTTTTAACTTGAGTTCTTTTAAATAGTCAACATTCTGTACATCTTCCATTTTCACAGCAACTTTGACACTTTAGGTGATATATGCTTCTTTTCAATACTGAGTATTTAGCTTCAAGGTTATATAAGAACTTCATAATTCTGCTGCAGTCATCTACAGCATTAAGTTCTTAGCTTTGAGGAAATAAGATTCGGGATAGATCACTCTCTCTGGGCATTGGCTGTAATTATAGATGCCAATAAATTAACAGTAACCTCTTTTTATATTATCATCTGAGACATCCACACTTACAGATAAGTAGCTATTGCTGAGATTTTAGTGTAAATCTTTTATTCTGTAGATGGAGCATTCTTAATGGGAGGGAGAAGGGCTTTCTTAAGCTAGAAAGGCTGCCCTCAAAGTATTGGTGAATATGGTACATTGCAGCAGCATACGCTTTCCAAATCTTCACAGGTCCCTTTTTGATGAGGAAAAGCTTTGCGAATGGTTAGCTCCTAGCTTTAGTAATCTGAGGCTTCTGGACCTAGTGACTTGTTCATACCAAAGAAGTTTCCAATGCCAAGAGAACGTGACAATTTACATCATAAAAAAACCACAGCTCTGTAAGCAATAGTCTGATAGGCTACAACTAGATGCTTGCTTACTTTCTTAGTGGAACTGAAATGAATGCAGTGGCAGTGTTGCAAACATGGCCCCAGTATTAGCTACCAAATATCCTGTTACTGAACACATTTGTTTTGCTTTTCATTTTGCCTCACCTCCTTAATTTCTACTTGGAATATGCAGAAAGTTAGAATCAAACCTTGTATTTCATGGCTCAAGATGTTCATTTTTTCATTTGTGCTTGTAGCTATAAAGATTCCTGCACTAATTATGTTATCTACCTCCTTTATATCTTGTGCAATTGTCTTTTAAAACCAGGAAAATTCTATGTGATCCTTTGATATATTATTACAGTACACATTATAAAAAAAAAATATGAATTTTTTTCAGTGTCCACCAAATCTTCATAAACAAGATGGGTATGCTTGTGATTCTAATCAGGTATGCGGTGTTTTAAAATCCCTGCACACCAGCAAATAGAAATCATCCAAATACGTTTTCTTTTTTTTTTTTTTTTTTGATCCTGTCTTCCATATTTCTTCATAAATTTTGTCTTTTGGACATCAATGTTGCTTGTGCTTTATGCACTCTATGAATAGTAAAAATTTCTACTTTGAGTAAAATCTGCTTTGGTATCTCTACATTTTACATGTAGATCTTTTATTACACTCTAATAAGCTCTTTACAACTATGTAAATGAGAAGTATAAAGCAGCTGCTGAAATGTCAGTATGTATTAGACACCAACTGACTTCGAGACTCTGGGCCAAAATGCGTACTCTATCTACACAAATTCACGAAAACTATTATACATCCCAATATGTGTGTGGAGAATCAAAATGAGACATTTGTTGGGGGAGGGGAAGGAAATGAAATAGTGTTCAGTTCTCATTGCTAACATGTTGTGTTTTGTTTAGGGTCGTTGCTATAATGGTGAATGCAAGACAAGAGATAATCAGTGCAAATATATCTGGGGATCTAGTAGGTTGACTTTAACTACCTTAAATGTATTTTATTTCTGGTTCATTCCTGCCTTTGTTTTGTATTTTTAGTATTTTTATTTTTTGTTCTTGCCTCTGTAAGTTCAAGTTTTCTGCTCAGTAGAGTAGACTGCAGTGCGAAACAGTGGCTTGATTGCCAAGTGAAATTTCGAGTTTGGGAGTAATGACAGTGAGATTGTTCTGATGTCTTGTGGTTGCAGACATAGGAAGGGCAGCAAATGCTAGACTCTGGTGGAATTATGTGAGAAAACATATAAAATATTGGCAACTTTGGGTTACTGTTACCAGGGGAAAAAAAATGGGTCTGAGGATTTTTTGGGTATAGTTCAAAACAGACGTTTTAGGGTTTTTTGCTAACAGTTGTCAACTCCATTATCCCAGCAGTGGTTCATGCTAAAGCTGCTCCACCTTGCCTCTTTTTGCTATACCATCCTACAAGTCAGGAAAATTAGTACATTGGAGTGAATTTAAATATACATAGTATGAATTCAAACCCAGAGGTGTTGAGTAAAATAGAATTGCGGTTGCAGTGGATTTTGCTTGCAGCTGAGAGGGGATGTAATGACTTTGAGTCAGTTCAGCAGAGCAGAACTATCAGGATGTCCTGTACTCTAGCACTTAATGTTTTCTTGTGCGTTTTGTCTAATCATAACTACCACTGCTGAGACTGCCTATTTGAGACAGAAGAATCATTCCATTCTAGGGAAGGTGGGAGGAGAGGGAATATAGTTTTACCATTTATTGTTTGTCTTGTACAATACGAAAGATGTTATATAAGTGTGAAAGTGGATGGAGAGAACATTTTCTTTGTCTTCTGATGCCTTTTTGAGCTTTATGTTGCCACCTCACATTTATTGATAATATTAAAGGCAATAGATGTTTTGTTAACTAATTTCTTCGTCTCTTAGAAACTTATATTTTAAAATACTTGGTTTGTCATCTACAAAAGTGATTTTATTGAAACTACTCTATCTTATTTACGTTTAATATTTTATCTTCCTCTGTATAATTTTTGTGCTTTTCTTTTTTTCTTTTTTAAACTTGCTTTTTAGAAAAAACAAATGGGCTTGCTAGTAAATAATTGTGGTTTTAAACCTATTAGTTCAGATTTCTACTCCTAAAAAGCAGTAGAAATTACACTCTGACTGTTCAACCTTGTTTTCTCTGTGAACTCCTAAAATATAAAATAAAATAAACATTAAGTTGATGTCAGAACATACGCTTATCGTATATGCCATGTATAAAATCTTTGATCTCCTGAAATACAGCTCAGGAATAATTGCAGTGCAAACAACTAGATTAAACCTAAGTGCAACTGTTACGAAGTGAACAAAATTAAGCCACGGATAAATTCAAGTGCAGAAGACAATACAGACACTGTGGAGATTGCTTTTTTTAAAAGTTCAGAGTAAATTTTGAACATTGAGCATTATTTTAGAAAAACCATCTGTAGGTATTGCAGTTCAGTCTGCTAGGTTCCCACTGTAGTCACTGGAAAATACCATCTGTGTACATACACATGTGGTTAGGTTTCTGTTTTGTATTAAAAAAATAGAACTGTTGCAATAAATCATGCAGCTGTCATGTTGCCAGTGAAAAGTACATTCCTTTTTTGTTTCTTCATCAACAGAGTCTTCAGGATCTGACAAATTTTGTTATGAAAAGCTTAATACAGAAGGCACAAAAAAAGGAAACTGTGGAAAGGATGGAGACCGATGGATTCAGTGTAGCAAACAGTAAGTTCAGCTTGGTAGAGATTATTTGTATTTTAAATAGATTAATACTGGTTTAATATTGCCTACTTTTTCATTAATGTTTCAGCAGTTTGTTTTGGATTATTTTGAATCTTCTTTCCCTCACAAGGTTTGCATCTTGAAAAAGTTCCATAGCTCATTCTGACAAATCCATGGGTGACTCAGCAATACACTTGTAAAGAATTCCAGATTTTCGGAAGAATGTACTGTGACTTTAATTCTTTCAGAGAGCTGGGGTCAAGGCAGCAAGAAGTCACAAGTTCACAATATAAAAACACCTCAGACTTGGTAGGGATAAATTAGGCTGCAAATACACACACTATTTTCTCTTGCTCTGAGATTGAAACCACATTATGCTATTTCAAGTTTGTTCCAACCTTTATTTTGACCAGAGAGGACCCTTAGACATTTGGATGCTATAAAGAAAATAGCTGATTCATTTGCATGTCATCATTACTAGATAAATATTTGATTAAATGTACTTTTTAAGTTAATGATCGTTAGTGGATAAACTTAAATTTCTCCTAACTTACTTACTGTTTTGTAGTTTTTAAGTATGCATGTAAAAATTTCAGTCTCGGAATGGTGTTTTCCTTCTTTGAATATCTGATGTTTGTCAAGTGGCTTTTTTTTTTTATTACATGATTCGCTTTTCAGATAGGATCATAAGCAAAGAAGTTGTTTAATGGATTTTTTTATATTTAGATGAGAATAGTGTTGTTCTGATATGTATATTAAAAACCTCATTTGTATAAAAGCTTTTCTTGGTCAGTAGAGAGATGCAGAAAAATGGTCTAGCTGAAGGGCCATTTAAATTTTTTGCAATTTTAACAAATACAATTTCCAGCATTCATCCAGCTGCTTCTATGACTTAGGACAATTAAAGTGAGAGATGGAAGTTTTAAGCTGATATCTTTCTATTGAAGAAGGTACATGTAAAATAACATCAAATAAAGCAGATTTTTTACCAAAATTCAGGCACACAGACTGCATGCTAACAACTGTTATTATGGTTCTGTTGTTCTGCAAGGGAAATAAAATACAATTAAAAATTCGAACTTCACATTAATATATGGCTTTCAAGCTGCTAGAGAGAGGGAAATGTAATTTAGCCTGATATGACAAGGCTTTGTACAATTTGGCTCCTCTTTATTGTACTGTATTGTATTTAGAGCACAGATAATTTTTTTTGTTGATGTGAACATTCACTGGTGCATTAGAATGAACAATTACTTGTTTCTGCCTCTTGTCGTTTATATCGACTAATATTTTATTTCCAGACTTGTACTCTGAAAGTCTGTCATGCAGCTTATAGTAATATATTACTTAATGTGATCAGCAGCATCTTTGCCAGTCTTTCTTTTTTGTAAGTTTACTTCATATTATTCCAGTAACTTTTTGATTTATGTTTTCATTTTACAGTGATGTTTTCTGTGGCTTTTTGCTCTGTACTAATCTTACTAGAGTTCCACGAGTTGGTCAAGTTCAAGGAGAAATTATCCCAAATTCTTTTTATCATCAAGGACGAATAGTGGACTGCAGGTAAAAGATAATGCAGTGTTCCAGCATGATTTTGCTTTGTCAAACCTAATTGAATTAAGATAAACATATATGTAAAATTGTATGATTTTTAGGTAATGAATATCTTACAGCAAAGTTATTATTCTGAGTGGTATTTCTTTTGATTAAAAAAAATAAAAAGGCTAATATTCCACATCTAAAGAGGGCGAAATGTGGGTTATCCTCCTGATTACTCTATCTGGTCTCTCCAGTGGCAGGATAAGATGTTAAGCTACAGTTCAGTTAAAGGGCAGGTAAACGGGTTTTAGTCTACTGTGCACAACACTGGATTTGTATTTTAAAGACATTGGCAACATTGCTGTCATGCTAATAATACTCTCTTACATAGTTAGGTCCTGAGTGAACAATGATTCTTAATTCTTCTGTTATTCCACTAGTATTTTTATTTAAATGTCATCACATGGGAAGTTAGTTTTTTAACATTTTTCTAGCAATAGTATTTCACAGCATTTTTTGGGTGGGAAAAAAAGAAGAAAAAAAAATTAAAAAGCACAGCCCATCAAAGACTGTTAAAAAAACCCCAAAGCCTAAGGTGCCCTTTTTGAGTATTTAAGTCATTATCTAGACTTTTTTTAAGTCTGACAACTGGAACACCTTGTCTATGCTGTGGACAGACAGAAAAACTTTATAATTTTGTTCAGTCTGTCTGTATGCTTGAATGAGGCTTTTAGTATCTACACTAACATGTTTAATATTTTCAAAAGACTCCAGTCATAATACTAATAGTATCTTAAAACTTATTTCTCCTAGTGGTGCTCATGTTCTTTTAGATGATGATACAGATTTAGGTTATGTGGAGGATGGAGCTCCATGTGGACCTCACATGATGTGTCTGGACAAAAAGTGCCTGCCAATTCAGTCTTTGAACATAAGCAGCTGTCCGATAGGTTCTAATGGAAAAGTCTGTTCCGGTCATGGGGTGAGTCTGTACTGGGAGTTAGCAGCTAAGCTTCTCCAGCTATCTCTGCTATATCTGATCTTAATGTACCCTGTCGAGTTCTCTACCTGAAAGTGTTCCTAAAACCTGTTGATCTGAAAACACAAATGTTAGATTCAGGGGAAGACTGCCATTCTGTGAAGCATAGATAAAATTTTAGAAAGCAAAGTTGTCAAATTAGTTCTGCAATTATAGTGGTGTTTTCATTGCTAGCAAGGAAGAGCTTTGACATCAGTTATTGTAAAGACTTCTGTAATGTACTACCCATATTTCAAGCTACTTGCCATCTTCAGTTAAACTTTTTCATGCATACTAACACTTTTATAAAGTTGGTCTTGTGTTCGTGGAGTTATACCTCATTACTTAAATAATTAAAATTCTAAACTGTTGGACCTCAATAGAGATGATACGTTCTTCCTGAACAGATGCAAAGGGCAGCCAAACCCCCTCAGATACAAGAGCAGCCCCCAGAGAGCACGAGCAACCCGGCGCGCGGCGGGCAAACAGGGCGTGGCGCGGCAGAAGGGCATGGCGCGGCAGTTTGCGCGGCAATTCGCGCAGGCAGGGTGTGCAGGGAAGGCAAGTGGGCAAGGCGCAGCCCTCCTCCAGGCCCCAGAGGCTAGCTCAACAGAGGCTAGCTCATCGCCCTCCCAGAAGAGGACCTAGCC